TGACGATGGCTATAGTCGTGTCCCACACAGGAGGGATCAGAGCACATATGTTAGTCTTTAGTTACAATTGGTCTAAAATACTCTGGATCCTAGTCTCCTATATTAAATGTGGTCTTGAATGTTTATCTGTGTTAGAAGTCCTTTTGAAACGATTTTGAACTGCAATTGCTAACACAAGAACGCTGGACCCAAATTTTTGACTGTATAACTCCAGTCTTTGTCAAGGAATAAGCAATCCACCGCTTCCGTGGCGTCAGGTAGATAACACACGTGACCCTCTCGTGTTGTTGTTTAGTTGATTTAGGCCGACATCTTTGTTTTCGTCCGGACAAGAATAAGAAGAAATCGGTGTAATTGTTGCCCTGTTAAGATGACTTACATGTAGTGTCAAAAACAGAGTGTCTTGTATCATTTGTCTGCACTAAAAATGTTATATCAGTTTCTAAGATTTAAACCATCTGAGCCTGTTCTTGATACAACACAACACGCAGTAGATTGACCCAAACACAGTCCTGGAATCGGAAACAACATTGAGCTAATTGTCCACCAATTAGCAATTCTGGATACGAGTATCCATGACAGACTAGAGCAAAACCCCTTCCAGATAAATAAACTGTTTGTCCGGACCCGTGCCTCAGGTCGAGCACAGTTCTGGACACGCAATGGCCTTGTCCCAAACCATGCCCGGGCACGGTCTGGGCACGGTCTGGGTTCTGGACACAAATGTCCCAAACCGTGCCTGGTCCCGGCAATCACTATGATAGACAGCACTTCCGGGCACAGTCAGTGCCCGCTCAGGCATGGTTTAGGACAGGCACGGTTTGGGACACAACAACCTCCTCGTCGGGCTCCCTGTTTAACGCCAACGACAGCGGCAACTCTGACCAAGCCGCTCTTGTGAAGCTTGGTACAGCACTGCAAAGAGCTACAGCGATGAAGAATGTCCAACTGATCATCGCCGGTGACATCAATTCCCCATTATGGGACTGGGAAACCATGAAACTGAAAAAACATCCGGTCTATACAACACTCCATTGACAGTTCGTCGACCTCCTGTACGACACAGGTCTAGACCAGATGGTACTGGAACCAACGCGTGGCGAAAATACACTAGACTTGGTACTTACAAACTGACCATCCCTTATTCCCAGCGTTGAAGTCATAACGGGCATCTTTGACCACAGCATTGTATACTTTGAGTTCAAGACCAAGCCCGACTCACTGCAGAATGCCAACCGCACCATCCTCCTCTACGGGCGAGCTAACTGGGAGGCCATGAAGAAGAAAATGGTGGCATTACAGCAGGACTTCCGTGACTCGGAAGACATTCCAACAGAAACATTGAGGCAGATGTTTAAGTCAGCACTGGAGGGCAGCATGGCCCATCACATTCCAACTAAGAAGGCGAAAAGAAGGCGAAAAGAAGGCGAAAAGAATCTCTCCCCTAGATGACCCCAGATATTCTTCGGCTCATCGGAAAGCGCAGTAGACTTTACAGAAATATGAAGAAAAGTGGTAACCAGGATACTCAGAAGGAAGTCAAGAAACTCAGCAGAGAGATCAGGAAGCAGATGAGACGCTCCTACTGGAGATGCATTGAGAAACTGTTCTCCCCCACCAGCTCAGAGGAAGGTTCTAGACCCAGTCAGAAGAGATTCTAGACCTACATGAAACACCAACGCTCTACTACTACTGGTGTGCCTGCCCTGAAGTCCAACGGGAAGCTTGTCACTGATCCTAACCAGAAAGCTGAGTTACTGAACAAACAGTTCTACACTGCATTTAGTGAAGGCGCCACATACACAGCTTCAGAGTTTAAAGCCCGGTGCTCACTGCCTGACTCGCGTGAAGACTACCCCTATGGACGACATCACGATTAGCACCGGTGTCATTGAGAAACTCCTGGCCAGCCTGAACCCCAGCACAGCAGCAGGCCCAGATGGCATTACCCAACGCGTACTAAAAGAACTTGATAAAGAACTTGCCCCGATTCTCACCACAATTTACCAGTCGTCTTTAAAAACAGGCCAGGTACACCAAGACTGGAAAGAGGCACTGGTAACCCCTGTGTTCGAGAAGGAAGAGCACTACAGGGTGTCCAATCATCGTCCTATCTCTCTAACCAGTGTTCCTGTAAAAATTCTCGAGCACGTTTTAGTCAGTGCTATAATGAGTCACCTTGAACTGAACAACATTTTATCGATACACCAACGCGGTTTTCGCAAGCGCCACTCCTGTGAGACTCAGCTCATTGAGTGTACTGAAGAAGTCTCCTCAGTCATGGAGCGAGGTGTTGCACCTGATGTGATCATTATGGACTTTCAAAGAGCCTTCGAACGAGTGAATCACAGTCTTCTCGTCCACAAACTAGACCACCACTGGATCCGAGGTCGTATAAATAAATGGGTAGCGAGTTTTCTCAGGGACCGTAAGCAGGCTGTAGTAGTCAACGGTGTCCAGTCAAGCTCTGTGAACGTGAGATCGAGCGTCCCACAGGGCACGGTGTTGGGATCGTGCCACTTCATTACTTACATTAACGACCTGCCGAAGAGGATCTCCTCTACCTCCCGTTTATTTGCAGACGACACTGCCGTTTACCGTCTGCTCACTTGTCCCAAAGACTCGTTAGAGTTACAAGCAAACCTCAACAAGCTTGAAGACTGGGAAAGAGAGTGGGACAAGGCCTTCCACCCAGACAAGTGCCAACAACTGCCATTGACACGAGCCAGAAACCCACTTACTGCCAACACCAGTTATATGCTGCACAACGACACCCTACAGCGTGTGCCCTCTGCAAAGTATCTAGGAATTACAGCGCAGATCTGCACGCTTCGTACTCCACCGTTACAGAAACACGTCCAGCGTCTCTGCAATGTTAGTCAATCTGCAGTGGCTGTCCCTCCAAGCTCGACCGCCGTAATTACAGATTAACCATGTTGTAAAAAGTGCATCTTGGTCTTGCCTGTGTAAAGCGACGGTCACAACCCGCCGTGCGTGCTTTTTGTCCGTACGCTTTTTGGGAGGCTACGTCTGCTACGTTTTTTTCTGAAAACGTAGGGTGACCGGCCGAGTGAGTACGTCACTCGCACGGTTGCGCAAGGTGTACGTACGTGGTCTGCACGACACGCCTGGCCGTCAGCGGTTGCGTGCATCTTATGTTGCGCAAGTGGTAAGTGAGTTGTACGTACGTGCTTACAACGTACGATCTCTGTGCGATTGCCACATTGCCGCGTACAGGCCGTACCTGTGCTTACAACGTACGATCTCTGTGCGATTGCCACATTGCCGCGTACAGGCCGTACCTACACGTGCGGCGTACGCACGGTTTCCTTACTCACTCGCACGTTGTAAGTGCGTGCACCTCCTGTTAACTTCATTATCACTAGCCGCCCTAGTGTCTTCCGCGGCCCGTTTGGGTCTTGTCTGGTAGTCTTCTTCTAAGCCTTCCTGGGCATCTTGGAGACGAGTTGACAGTCGCCCGTCAAGTCGTCTTTATATACTGTAGAAATCACGTGCGTTGCACGTGCGTTGCACGTGCGGAGCACCTGGTATGGTGGACGTGTGTTCTGCGTGGTCATTGAGCAGGTCAACTGGGAAGTGAAGAGTAAGCACGGATGACGCAAGCACCGTGCGTGGCACGCACGTGCTTTTTGCGCTGTCCGTACAGCAATTGCACGTGAGAATAGTGAAGTTAGACTCACGGAGTCCGTACGTTGAATGCTCATAGGCTGTACGGGGCACGCGAGTGGCACGTATTCGCACGCACGGGTGATAAATTCGCAGACCGCACGTAGAAAAAGTTTTACATGCACTTAAAGTTCTACGGCGTGTCTGCGTGCTCCCAAATCCGTAGGATTTCGTACGGAGGTGTTACTCACCACGCACGGATGCCCTACGATTGCCCACGTTTTTGCACGTAGACAGCACGCAGAAGCACCTGCGGCGGGTTGTGACCGTCGCTTGAGTTGCGACACATTGAATTCCCTTCCCAGTAACACCACGAGGCGCCGGTGAGGACACAGTCAGCAGTACCTTCAGTTGTCCTGCTGCACAAACTACCGTTTTTACCCCTTCCTCCCTCGAAAGATCAGAGACTGGAAGTCCCTGGATCACGCATACACGCCACAGAACTTTAAGTGCATGTAAAACATTTTCTACGTGCGGTTAGCGGATTCACCACACGTGCGTGTAAGTACGGGCGACGTGCGTGTCCCTTACGCCCTGTAAGTAAGAAGCACATGTGAGTACGGCTTCCTTACGGTAAATTTACAATCGCACATAGATCGTACGCTCTAAGCACGTACAACTCACTTACCACTTGCGCAACGAACGATGCACGCAACCACTCACGGCCAGACGTGGCGTGCAGACCACACTCTTACACCTTTCGCAACCGTGCGACTGACGTGCGACTGACGTGCGTCGACGCCACTCCTTCCTCACGTTTTCACAAAAAAAATGTAGCAGACGTAGCCTCCCAAAAAACGTACGGAGAAAAAGCACGCACGGCGGGTTTTGACCGAGGCTCGAGGCTTAAGATTGCACAGACAGTAAATGAAGAGAGAAAGCAAATCAAAAAGAAGTTACTAAATTACTGTCTCCAAGACTCCAGGAGAAATTTTAAAACAAGAGAAAGACAGAGAAGTAAAAAAAGACAGCCAGAAAGGAGAAAAGAAATTACACAGAAAAGCTTGCCAGTGAGGCTGAAATAGCGGCACAGAGTAAACACCACAAACCATGATGTCCCAGTACAGACCTAAGATGCATATGGAACAACTATCACTGAAGAACGGTAAAGCCTGAGAGATGGAAAGACCATTTAAAAGAGAGTCTGAACAGACCACAACCCCAGACACTCCCTGGCATCACAGAGGCAGAAGTAGACCTCGATATCATCCTGAATAACATTACTGTCTGGGAAGTGAAAGAAGCAATCAGAAAGCTTAAGTACGGTAAAGCACCGGGAGATGACGGGATATGCCCAGAAATGTTGAAAGCAGATGAACGGCGTCAACTCCGGCGTCATGCCTTCTGCTTGGAAGACGGCCAGCATCTGTCCGGTACCCAAAACTTCTCATCCGATCTCGAGGAAAGGCTTGGGACCAATCTCCTTGATCTCCTCGCTGGGTAAGGTCCAGGAGAGACTTGTACACAACAAACTCTTCCCCATAATGAAACCCTGGATTAAAGACCAGTTTGCATACATGCCTAAGTCCTCTACTACTGCCACACTGCTGAAGGCATACCAGTCCTGGTTCACAAGCCTTGACAACAAACAGACTTCAGTTGTGCGTGAGCTACTTGCCGACATGTCGAAGGCGTTCGACAAATGGGATTCTTCTACAGCACCTGTCCACCCGCGACATCACCGTAAAAACGCTGACGTGGATCTGCAGTTACCTGTCTGACAGAAGACAACGTGTCGCCGCCAACGGTCAACTGAGCAGCTGGAAGGATATCACTTCAGGAGCACCTCAGGGGGGAGTGCTATCACCTTACTTATTCCTTGTTTATATGTCTACGCGGTCTGTAAAATACCCAACAACCACTAACATTGGGTACGCTGATGACATAGGACTATCGAGATGCATCCCCTGTGTCATTGCAACCAGAACAGCACGATCATTAATGGAGACAAATCGTACGAGCTCAGGATATGTTTCTCCAGAGTGCCTCCAGACCGCCCTCCTTGTTGGAGGAAAGGTTATCGACCTCCCTCCTTCTTGTAAGGAAAGGTTATCACATGTGTCACCTACCTGGGCTTGAAGATCAGCTCCAACCTCAAGTGGGACAATCACATCACACACGTGACGAAAAAAGCATCGCAGCTCCTTCACTACCTCCGTTTACTCACCAAGGGTGGCATGCCCGCGTACGACTTAACAACGCTGTACACAACTCTCATCAGGCCCCACTTGGAGTATGCTAACGTTGTGTATGTCGGATGCACGATCAGTCAGTCAAACATGCTCGAATCCGTGCAAAAAGGGCCGTAAAGATCATAAACCGGAACAGTAGTACCCCGTCGGCAAATTTTCTGCCCAGTCTTTAACACAGGCGAGAAGCAGCAGCAATAAAACTCATTGACCAGATGCGTGCTTGTGATCACCCTCTGCACCACATGATCACCAGCGACAGACAACAGCAGACGGGAAGGACATTACGGAACAGTCACCACCTAACACTGCCGGCATGCAGAACGGAACGTCTACAACGGCCATTCCTGTTCCCTATACAATCAGACTGTTTCCTCCCAACACAAAATGCTTAACTATTCTAGTTCAACGAATATGGCTTTCTGTAGACTATAACGATTTTCTAAATAACGATTAAAAAAATATAGCAATATGATTTATGTTTTTAAATCCTTTAATTGATAGCTTTTTTAAATATTGTGATTGATTTTAAAGATGTCAGATGTAAATTAGCATAATACTTCAGACTCTACTATGTAAGTCTGCTTTTTGCTAATAAAGTCATTGTCATTCTGGTCATTGGTTATTAATTGGAAATTAAATTCATATTAAAGACACCCAGTGCAGTTTTAGGGCTTGGAAACCCGAGTTTTCAGAGCCAATATTCTATAGTCACTTATCTACATACTAAGTTGAAACCACACTATCCCAGTGTATATTGGACCTCATGGAGCAAAAATTACCCAAATTCTGACGGAAAATGGTTACTGGAAGGTTTACTGGCTGATTTTTAGGATACCACCCAGAAAAGAAAGGACTCCTCTTGGAGCTTGTTTTTGCAGTTTTAAAAGTCCAAGGTATAACATGTGCTAAGGAGAAACAGTATATGTCAATATCACAAAGATTGCCTTATTCAGAATATTTCAAGTTTCACTGTCCTAAAAATCGCATCGGATGTCTTTGAATTAAAAAAAAGAGTTAAGTTTGACCTCAAAATAGATTTTATGGGTATGTAGCGCTACGTCGTGGGGTCGTGTGGCGTAGCGGCAGAGTGTTCGACTCGGAAACTAGAGGTCCCGGCTTCGAGTCCTGACATGCCACCGATCTTGTGCCCTTGGGAAATGCACTTTACACAACTTTCCTAACTTTGCTCAGGTAAAAATGAGTATTGTATTGTCCCCTGTGTTGGTGGCGGCATTAATATAAGTTTAAAAAACTTGAGTGTGTCGTCACCACGTCTAGTGATTACATGTTGGAATTTAAAAAAAATGACCGCGGGTGACTCCAGATCGAACGAACGTTAGGTTCGCAATGCCGTCACCACGTCTTGTGATTACATGTTGGAAATTGTAGAAAAAAACGTCCATGTCTTATCTCGTGATGTCGACATATCACGTCATTGATTTTTGAGCAGTTGATACCTAGGGGCCAGAAATAATTGGTACAGGTTCTAGCTCATCTCGGCTATTTTTTAAATGCAGAAACCAGTTTTTTTTATGATTAAGAAAATAAAAAATAAAAAAAATGTCAAAGAGATCTATATGACCTCCGAAAAAATGATCGGATATTTCGAAATCTTAAGTTGATACAATTAAATGGTAATCAAATTGAAGTTACACCATGAAAATGTTACTGAGAAAGAGAGAAATATTAATAAATAGGTTATGAAAAAAAAGACATCATTAGCATAATTATAAGAGTATAAAGAGAGACTACCGAAGGCAATACTTTTGTGCCGTAAATGCTACTCTTAAGATAAACTTTTTTTGCAAACGAAATTATGCTATACCATATAGCCAAGTGATTACTCCTTTTAAAATATTATATTTTTATATCGTTAAAGTTACATAAAGATTTATGAATGCTTATACCTCTTTAACTATGTTGGATTCCTTTAAAGAAATCGTCTGAAGCATACTTCGGTACCGTTCGTTGAACCGAAGTTGAGGGTTCCTTAGAAATCTACTCATCCAAGCCGATGCCAACCTGGAAAATATCAAATTACCCGAATAAAAGTTATAATAAAAAATTCTAACCCATGAGTTTCTTACCCTGGACAAGAACAGTGAGGAAGTTCCCCCACTGTGACCTTCCCAGCAGTTTTAATGGTTAATTAACTACCATAACTACATAAACTCGTAAACACGCAGACTCTCCATCCCCTGGAACAAAGGCAGTATCAGATTTGCATACATCAAAATTGTTGTAATATTTGAATTTTTAAAATTACATTTTTTTTAAGATACAGCTTTAAAACGCAATGCAAATTGATTAATAAAATTGAAATGAACGTTTTATGTGAAAACAATACTAAATTGTGATTAAAAAAAAGGTTATCGAAATAAAGGAATAAACGAATGCATTTCTAGTGTACAGTTACCTTGAACAATAGTTTCTCCCTCTTTTGAATACAACACTGCCAGAATGTTTCTGTGTGAATATATAATTCACAGTAAAAGTTATAGTAGTTCATGAGTCGATTTTTTATGATTTTTCAGCAAGTGGGAGTAATACGCGAGATCCAAATTCACACCGCAAAATTTGCATTTAAAAAGGACAACCTGCAATACGTGAGGAGGGGTGCATAATTCATAATAGCATAATGTCGCAACATGCACCGAATATGAATGTTAAAAATGTTAACAACAGTAATAATCTTGAAAAGCCCAGATAGTTTCAATTGTACAAAAAATCATTACAATTCGCAATCACCGTTTTTAAACAAAATTCATTAAAATCAAATGTGTTTAGTTAATTCTAAATGGTTTCCTACCTTTCTATTGGATTTCTCGTGACCACAATAGTATAATATGTCGACAGACGTAGAGCTATTTCTTCCTCAGTATACGAATTTAACAGTCTAGGTTTGGACAGGCTATTGGACGTCTTCATTGCAACTGCTTTTACATTTAATCCATTTTCCAAATTGTACAACAGTGTTGATGTTGTAGTGCTTCCCGTCTTTCCAGTGCGACAGTATATTATTTTCTTTTTTTCGTAAACGACGAAATAAAACGTATTCAGTGAATTCTGAAATCAAACAAACAAACAAACAGGTTTAAACTTATTCAATTATTTTAACAAAAATTTCTGACCCATCTATGCATGTCATGTCCAATATTAACATGTTATCAACAATGTAACGTTTCATTGGACTGAGGCGAATGTGTTTCAATTAATAATCAACCATTCTCGTTAATACTTTAGGTTTAGTTAACAATCTTTCCTAGATTTAAAAAAAATATATATATTCTGAGACAACCAAATCCCTTTTTGTAATATAAAAAAATACATGTTTCCTTTCTATTGTAGGTAGGTGGTCATATAGGACAAAAAAAACCTTTGCCTTCTGCTAGTTTAACCAAATTGTTTAACTCTATCTAGACCGGGTTCATGGGACAGGGGAGGATCACACCACCCCACCCCCTAACAACTACTGAACGCAATTGATATAATCAATATAATCAATATAATAAAGGTACACATTGATGTATAGCACTGTTTGACCTTTTGCACTATTTGTGTAGCAAGCTGCCTACAACATGATAAAAGTCCAATAGTTCTTTTTCTGTCTGCATCACGAGCATTTTGTTCTAAAGGTAAGACTGATCATCAGCAAAAGGAGTAAGAAGAATGTACCTGTGCTCCCACACCCTATTGTAGGTGGTTAACAAATGCAAATGGTTACCACGTAAAAACTTTTTTTTTAATTTGTGGTCACAACGTAACACGGACGTTAGGCCACTTCTAGGTTATGAATACTCACGTAGGTTACGGGTTATCGAATAGGACTGTAACAGCAACTCTTCTCCCCGAGTCAGAAATTTCAGGATTGAGACCAGCCCAATTTCTCATAAGTAGTGATGACTAACTGAACCAATAGGAGAAGCAGGGGTTAGAGTGCGAGTGTCAGCTGATCTTACATGTACATGGGATGCCCATGTTACTATGTTCAGGACATGTTATCTAAGACCCGATCCAGAATCTACTGTCACGCTCCCGTCAGGAAAGCTGGACTCTTTTCAGACGATGACGGTAGCATGCTGTTGGAGGTAGATCTGCTCTACCGAGGAAAGACCCAGACCCTGATTGTGGTACAGGATTCCGGGGTATGTTGAGCTCTTTAAACCGCCCTAATTTTCAAGTACTGTGTGACGCTGTTGTTCATTTCTTGTAGCTGTAAACGTGTGATGTCATGGACTGACAGTAAGTACTTAATAGCACATTGTACGTAGTTTCTATATATTTTTCATTTAAAGGTGATGCATTGGTATTCATGATCCCATTTCTCTCACTTGTTCCTATAATTGATTCCCTCAGAATATCAGCGATGATGATGTTGTCCAACCGGTGGTTGCCGATAGAGAAGACGACATTTTAAATTGAGCCAGCAGAGATACGGAGGGTTTTGGATTTCTTAGGTTTCAAATATAAGTGGATATCAGGCAGATTTCTCTGCAATGTATTTAGAATACGCTGCATTGATCTTGACT